CGTGGCACAGAGCGTCCGGGGAGCGCCGAAAGCGGCACTCGTGTCCCGAGACACACTCAGCCTAGTGTGGGGCGACCATGCAGGAATTTGAAAAGACTCAGACAGACGGAGTCAGCCAAGCCATGGGGCGACGCCAAAGTATGCATGGAGGAAAATGCTATTAGGTCACCAGCCCTGGAGTGGCGGGAAGGGGAGAGGAGGGAGGGTGCTGGGGGCGTGAGCCGGGAGGGGAGAGCAGTTCAGACAAATTTCCCGGTGCGCACTCACTCGCTTTTATGGGAAGCGCCCTCGGCAAATAAACCCCAGGGTATCAGATTTTGTTTTTCGGTGTGTAGGTAATATGAGAAATGGGTTACAAATGTGTTTCCTACCGCGAATATTTTAATATCCAACAGTGACATTTTACTCGAAGCGAAGCCAGCTAAAGCCGAAACGATGAATAAACCCGTCTTTCACAATGCCGGACGGATTGTACTTGGAGTGGAAGTGGAAAACCATCGTTCATCTACCAGGAAGTTTCTTTCATTAAAGGAAGTTCATGCAAGTCCTAGGAGAACTAAGAAGGCAGCTTCAAAGAAAGTTCGGGTCTGACCTTTGGAATTTTTTCTTCTACCTTAAAAAATATATATATTTTAAAAGGTGAGCCATTAGGTTCCTTTGGGGAACGGCTGTATGAGTTCCCAGAACATGATCGATTTGTAACTGCAAGCCTTCCCACGTCCATCATCGAGCTGCCTGTACTGTTTCTTTGCTGCATTGTTGTCGTTTTTTCAGGTGCCTCCAAATGGGTTCTGGCTCTTGGTGATCTTATGTACAACAGTGAAGTCCTGCCCAGTCTTGTGCCATCCTCACAAGTGTTATATTTAAGCTCATTTTTAGCATCTCTTTCGTCTTGTGGAGGGTCTTCCTCCTTTCCCCTGATCATCTGCTTTACTCAGCATGAAGCCCTTTCCCACAGACTAGTCTTTCCTGTTAATATGTCCAAATCATTACCCTAGATTTTAAGGAACACTCTGTACTTCTAACAGGACAGATTTGTTTGATCTTCTGTCAGTCTGAAGAATTTAAATATTCTTCACCACTACCATAATTCAAATGCATCACTTCTTTTTCCCTCCTTGTTCGTTGTCCACATTTCTCATGCTTAGGAGACTATTGAAAGTATCATGACTTGGGCCAGGTGCACCTTAGTCTTCAAAGTGACATCCTTGTTCTTCAACTCTTTAAAAAGACCTTGTACCCAGCCTGTGTGATCACAAGGTGTCCATGGGATCAGGTATCAGGCATCAAAGACCCAGAACAAAAAACATATCATTGTGAATGAGGGGGAGTGTGGAGTGGAAACCCAAAACCCATCTGTAGACAATTGGACATCCCCTTACGGAAGGGTCTCAGGGAGGAGATGAGCCAGTCACGATGCAGTATAGCAACGATGAAACACAACTTTCCTCTAGTTCCTTAATGCTTCTTTCCTCCCCCCAACTATCATGACCTCAATTCTACCTTACGAACCTGGATAGACCAGATGCATGTACACAGGTACAGATAAGAGCTGGAAACACAGGGAATCCAGGACAGATAAAGCACACAGGACTAATATTGAGAGTGGCCATACCAGGAGAGTAAGGGGAAGGTAGAGGGAGAAAGGGTGAACGGATCACAATGATCTTCATATAACCTCCTCCCAAGGGGATGGACAACAGAAAAGTGGGTGAAGGGAGTCATCGATCAGTGTAAGACATGAAAAAACAATGATTTATAAATTATCAAGGGTTCATGACGGAGGGATGAGGAAGGAGGGAAGGGGAAAATGAGAAGCTGATACCAAGGGCTCAAGTAGAAAGAAAATGTTTTGAAAATGATGATGGCAATAAATGTACAAATGTGCTTGACACAATGGGTGTACCTATGCACTGTGATTAGAGTTGTATGAGCCCCCAATAAAATGAATGATAAAAAGGCCTTGTACAACAGATTTGCCCAATGAAAGATAGCATTTAATGAAACTCTTGACAATTTCTTTTTTCTGTTTACAATGCTGTTGTCTACTGATTCAGTTGTGAGGATTTTGATTTTCTCTAAATGGACTTGGAATCCGTACAGAAGGACGCAGTCTCTGATCTTCATCAACACGTGCTTTCAGCAAGCAGGATTGTGTCATCTGCAGGTCACAGGTTAGGTAATCAACCTTCCTCAATCCTGGTGCTGCGTTCTTCTTCAGTAGCCAAGCTTGGTGAATTATTTGCTTAGCTGTAAGCATCAACTAAGATGGGCAATTACTATTTAATCGGAAAGTGTAGTGGTGTTTTAGAAGATTCTGATTCTAATTGTACGCTTGCAATAAATGGCATGGGTGGCCATATCAGACCTCCTCTGACTTCCCTAACACCACGAGGCAGAGGTCAGACATGCCTGCACCTTTCCTCCCACTTGACCCTGTTCTAACACAAACCATTTCTCCCACAGCATTCTATTTCTTTGCTGGGTTTGATCATTTGTTACAATGCCCACCAAACTCACAGACCAAACCCCAAATTAAGGGGGTTTACTAGGTGTGCTAGAAGTTACCAAGTTACCACAAATCAGAATCATTAACTAGTCATTGGTGGACAGTAGCATCTCTCTTCATCCAGCATCTGAATCTCTCTCTGGTCCTAAGCCTCACATGGTCCCTTGGCTTTTACCACTGTGGACTAGGAAGCCCTCCTTTCATTCTGTTTAAATGAGAAGGTACCCCTTGGGCTAAATGAGGAGAAGGTACCCCATGGTCTTAGCGCTGCTCCTCTGAGTTTTGTGCCACAGTCTCTGATGCTACATGCCTGCCCCTGTCTCGTTAGACAGAGATCTCCCGCATGCTCTTCCTGTGGTCCTGGGGTATCTCTGTCTCTGAGATGGTTCTTATGCACAGAGGGATAGCTTTGATGTGCGGTTTTTGTGCTTCAGGGGACCATACTCACCCAAGGAAACAAAGGGCATGACTTGGCTGGCAACTTACGGTATACTAAATTAGAGACTCAATCCCACCTTAATCGTCCCTATTAGTATAACAGAAAACTCCCTCCAAAATGGGACTATAGCCACAGGCAGGAGTCCAGAATCATGCTACATCGCATATGGAGTTATGGCTACACAGGCCATATTAATTGACTACATTTCAAAGCTTCACATTAAAATCATCCATTGCTTCTGGAGACCATGAGATCACCCTATGATTATGTGTAAGGAATAGAGTGAAATTCACCCCAAACAACCACCCATGTCATCAGAGACCTGATGAAGTCATGGTTGGGAGAAAATTAGGGTAATGTCTTTGGAAATACAACTCCAAGTTATTTGGGGGTGGGGGGTTGTTTATCAACAGCTTCATTAGCATTGATGCCTCATGAAACCAACATGTTGTGCCTTTGGAATTATATTATAAGCAACCATTGAAAATAAGTCATCTTTGGTAGGTGTGGATAGCACAACTTTGCAAATATGAGTTTGATATTTTAGCAAAACTGAAAGAACAAGAAAGTCAGGGCAACTTGGTTCTGTTGGAGAAATGAGGGGTGAGGTTATGGAGTGGTGGTGAAGAATCCCCTCAGATCTAGCCATAAGTTTGAGACTTATGCCACATCGTTGTTTTTATATTGCAAGAAGAGAAGGAAATTATGTAGAATGCTTTCATGGGTCTTACTTATGGGTTGTTTTATTTTTTTATTTTTGAGGAACATTTTATCGTGGTTTAGGTAAAAGTCTAGATAGATTGACACAGTGGCTGCAGCAATGTGCTCAAGCATAGGAACAATTGTGTGGATGGTACAGTTCTGTGTACTGTTTCCTTATATTGTACACAGGGCTGCTTTCGACTGGAACTGACTTGATGGCACCTACCAACAACTACAGTGTTTGGCTCTAAAGTGGTCTTGAAGAAGAGTGGGTTCTTTTCTGAA